AATAATTCAAAAGCTTTGGGGTGATTGTACTTACATTTCTAACATCTAAAGGAATAAAAAGTTGCATGGAACCTAATGAAATCTATGGAGAAAGATTGAAAGGAAAAAAAAATTGCACAGAACCCAAAAGTTCATAACTTATAAATACTGTGATTCCTTATAAAGTTTATATTTTATATTGATGCTAATGTTGATTTTTATTCCAATGGAATTGTAGACAACAGAAGCATTAACTTAGATAACTTTATTCTTAGATCATTGCAACATATTATTTAAACAAAGCAAAATGGCTAACCACATTGAATTATTTTTAGTTCACTAAAATTAAAATGGAAGGACCAGTCATTATCTCATGGATCCGTAGTTTACAGACTGAATTTTAAATAATTTTAATAAATTTAATAACAATAACAAACCTTATCCTACTAGGTGAGGTCAGTTATATAGATTGTACGACGCCGTTATGCTCTATTCTTTTAGGAATGTTATTAACTAAGAGGTCTTGATCAATAACTTCTAATTTTAATGAATTCAAAAATAAGAAAATTCTAATTTTCTAAAAAAAACATAGTGGCATGTAAGAGATTCTCCATTTCTCTAGTGGATGAACAGATAGAAGCAAAACAGTGTAGCAAAGGATGGAGAGAAGTACAAGTTTCAATTAAAGCAACTCAGTTCCAGAGTCAATCAATGCAATCAACAGAAATGTGAAAATTTACCTGTTCCATTGTGGCATAAATTCCATAATGAACTTCCTTTCTTGATAATGCTTTTAAAGCAGAAAAGAAGCATTGAACCTAACAACCACATAGGAAGTTAGAGACAATGGAATAAGCTAGCTCCATACAAAATATCTGCTTGCATAGCACTAAGAAGCCTAATCTTAAGAATGAAAATATACCTTCTCAATAACAGATGTTAGCTTGAAAGTTAAATACAATCCTGTTGTCAGTGATGAAAAGAGACTCCCATAATCCTTGTTTAAGAAAAAACGGTACCAAACTGACGTGGGCAACAAGGCACGATACAGCAGCAATGAGTACTCAACCAGAGTCAACATTTGGCCCTTGAAATAATTTAGCAACTTTCAGTTAGTTGCAGAGGCAAAATAGAGTTGAAAATTGTATGCCTGTTGGAAATAATAAAGAAGCTACTGCTCACCTGCTGGCGGAAGTTATGACCTCTTCCATTTTTGTAAAATATAAGCAGCAAACACTTGAAAGCCATTGCTACTTGCCTCACCAGTGTATCTGAAAAGCATTAAATATGGTGATTGTGAATACCAACAAAAGTTAGAATAAATTTTGGCTAGAAAATCACCAATTAGTCAAGGCACAAGGAAACAATCAACCAACCCAAAGCTAAAGCAAGGGAATATAACTCAAGATATTCAGAAAGATATCGTTCACGATTACATAGCTGAAAAGATAGCAGCAAAGCTGAAAATAATTCATGAAACAAACATAAAAAAATAGCAAAATATGATTCTGACGATATGTCAAACATGTACATGCACACTGAAATTGAAATACCCATGGGTTTGGGTTTTCTTCAGGTGAAATGGACTTGGTCTGTTCAGAAATCAGAAGTGATAGGCTGAGACCAATAACCTTGAAGAGAAGCTTGACTCAATGCCCACAGTATATTATCATGATTAATCTGATTTGAACAGACCAATAACCTTGAAGAGAAGCTTGACTCAATGCCCACAGTATATTATCATGATTAATTTATTTCACCAGACTGCATAATTTCAATTTGTGTGTTCACCAATTAATCACCTAAATTTCTAACTTAATCATATATCATGGACATACATTGCATTCCAACTACGTATAAAGATGGCCAGTATAAATATAGGGTATAGCAATTAAACAACTGAAAGCATACTAATTTTTCATTTAGGGAAAATGCTGGATTCTGGTACTAAATAAATTCATACCATTGACCAAAATGATGAATATGGCATGCCAGAAAGGAGGTGCTGATTTTGGAGGAATCATGATGAGTATAAAAGATCATCACTTCGATACAACCAGTAAATGCACATCACGTGAAGCATGAAGGCGAAAGAGATACCAAAAAGAATTGAGACTTTCCTGTCTCCCTGCAAAATAGAAATTGTATAAAACCTCTTTTTTTCCCTGTAAAGAAGAGGGAAGGGGAAGTCACATGTAAATAATTAGAGGAAAAAGGATCAAAGGACTTGTAAAATCTGGGCAAAGCACCTTCAGCGCTGTCTGCCTCTTAACAATTTCATTCGATTTGAACATCACAGCTGAAATCCAAATCGTGATAAAAAACCCTGCAGGCTCTCAAAATTGAATATCAACATATGATATGGAAAGAATCAAAAGTAGGAATTGGCAATGTCAAAGTGATGCCTTCGATCAGGATAAACAGCAAATGAAAGACAGATACAGCCTAATGATTGTCAAAAACCTCCCCCAACCATTTTTTGTCTTTCCTAACCCTACCCCAGTTCTTTTTCCTTTAACCATGTAGCTTAAACCTGAATATAATGAGCTGTACAGATATTAATTCATAAAAATTTCAGTTTCTGTTACGCACAAAGCCATGCAAACTCTCCTTCCGGCCATTGTTCCACCAAGCACAATTCCTGAGAACAGTCAAGATAAGGCTTCCAACACAGCCAAGTTATTTGAATGTGATATCATTTGGGACGTCGCAAAGAAAAGCATACCATACAAATTATATATAAATTTGGTCCAACCATATCATCAAGTCTAGCTTATCTTATTTATAAGTCATAATTTCTACAACGGAACAGTGCACATGACAAGTAAAAAGAAATAAGGGAAAAGCACATTTCTCATAGTTCCGTTGAAGCATTCTAGGATCATGAAGCCATAATGAACACAAAAAAACCATTAAGCAGATGCACAGGATTTGTACCTTGCAAATGCTGGCGAATGAAAACAACCAATAGCAACAGTGAGAAAGGAAGAATCTGCTCAATCCACTTAGCAGCCTGCTGGATATCATACCTCTGGTAAGAGGATGAATCCCCATTGTTAATTTCCGAGGCATTCCCAGCATCTTCATCCACGTGTCCACTAGCGGCAGATGTAGATGAAGACACTAGAGGGACTCTTCCATTGCGAGCCTCCGCATCGTCATCCAATGCGGGCATTCCTCCTCTATTTCCCATCAAATCAACATGATCGACTTGTCCAAGCTGATTCAAAGTGGGAGTAGAAAAGGAACCTAACGCGACACTCTGTTCTTGTTCTGCAGCCCCAATGATTCGTATTGAAACTTCACCAGTACTGCCACTGCACGCGGCACCGGACTCGGAAAGCTGAGAGCGTGCTTCCGAAGTGGTAACTCCGTTGTTGACTGTCAAGGCCCCTGAGTCGCGGGCTGGCGAACTTGAGCGGAGAATGCCAGCGTAATTCAACAAAAGAGAAATTGGAGAACGGAAGGAGCTGACAGGGGCTAACCTCATCCCGTGCCAGGCTTCAGTAAAGGCACTGCTATTACTGTTACTATTATTTACTCCAACAGTTGAAGAGGAGGAAGAGGAAATGGCGTATGGTTCTGAATTAGCACCCGATGTTTCCATTTTCGTCGGAGAATTAAAACACTGATCCTCACCTAGCCTCCTTTTTGGTCCTTATATCTTTTTCAGCCAATGTTCTATTTGAGGAGTTTCTCCCCCTGGCGATCACTGACATAGAGAAGATGAAGATGGTTTTTTTAAAGTCGATAATATGGCCAAGAGGATGACAGAATTTTTTTTTTTTTTTTACGTTAAAGCACAAAAAGAAGAAAAATCCAAGGAAAACCGATAGAAGGAAGCAATGAATGAATAGAGATATATTACCTGACGAATGAAGAAATAGAAAACAAAGCAGCGTTTAGCGTATTGAGATGTGAAACAGCGTTAGTGCCGGGGAAAGAATTTAAGCTGAGGCAGAGACGGCAGAAGAAGCAGAAGCAAGAAGAGGAGAAAAGTCAAAGTCCCAGGAAGGCGCAACCCTGAAACCTCCTCTTTATTTTTTATTTCTTCATTGTGGGGGTGCTACTGCCTACTAGTTTCGGACTTGAGAAAATAAGAGGGGCAATAATAATAATAATAATGTCTGTCGCTTGGCGGACGATAAGAAACGCGTTTATTAAATAGGCATTATCAGGCACTTTTTCCCAATTCACCATTTCAACGGGTGACGAGCCGTGACCCCCAGCCTTTTCTGTGTCTTCTTTTTTACCCTTCCCCGAACACACTTTGATATATTCGCTAATCGGACGTTCTTCATTGGTTTATTTTTCTTTTTTCCCGTCACAGTAGTTTATTTGAAGTAATTGTTATAGTAATGCATAATTAATTTATTCAACATATCAATGTAGGAGTCTAATATCGACTTCGATTTCATTTTTAATATTATTTTATTTTATTTTATTTGAACTTTTAACTTGACTGTAGCAATTTTTATACTTATTGATTACTATGTTCTAACACTGAAAAATCGAAGGATCAGTTATAACCTTAAATAAACGAAAAATTACTTCAATAGAATAAATTAGATTAATTAGTAAGAAATTAACTTGAAACAAATTTACCATATCATCCTAATATTAAAAATTGAAATAAATAATATCATGTGTTTACACTAGTAACCAGAAACTTGGCCAAAGTTTAAAAATAAATAAATAAATAAAATCGTCATCGAATTAAATAACCCAACAAAGTTCAAGTAGCGCATCAATCCGAAAACCGACGGCCCCTTCTTTTCGGCCAAACTGATCCAAAACATAAATATGACAACTCATCGACATTGATCACTGATGATTACGGAGTTGCTATTGAGCAATGAGCGAAAATATCAAGGACCTTATAATATCCTACCTATTTACAAAATTATTTGATTGATTGATTGTCCCCACCAGTGACTGCGACGAGCACTTTGCCATTAACGTCGACGTTTGCTCTAAGCCCTCATTTCAGAAAGCAAAGACACAACAGAAAAAGATTAGAATAGCAATAAAGAAGCATGCTATTATTTTCTTTCACTTTCCCAATACCACTAGGATCATGGGTTACAACTAAATATCGCAACGCCGATGCTATAGAGGAGAGAAGTATTGATTGCAAGTTCAGAAGCAAATTACACGAGTGAAACAGAACATCTTACTTGTTTGGACAAACCAACATAATGCACATGGACCAAAGAGCTAATTAGGATCTACACCAACAATGCGATATAAAGCAGGTGAGACGGCTGGTTCAGGCAACGCAAAATAGCAGCATGATCTACATTTCATGGCTTGTTCATAATACAAAGACGGAAGAGAGGAGGGAAAAGATGCATAAACATGCAGCTCTATGATTCATTTGCCCTTCCAGCTGTCTTTCCGCTTCCGTATCTCTCTCAAAGCTTCAACAGGAGACTTGCACCCCACCTTCTCCTGAAATGGTTGGCATTTTAATTATCATCTCAACATTTAGACGTCAATTTCATGTTAGTATTCAATTTAGGGAGACCAAAGGAATGCCCAAAAAAACAAAAAATCTTCTTTCCATTTCTTAAAGCCTTCCTCCTCCTCCTTTCCAAAAACAAAACAAAACAAAACAAAAATCTTTCTTAAAATCTTCCTATTGGCCCCTTACATTTCTTCTTCCCCAAACGAGGGGAAAAAAAAATCTCCTTCCTCCTCTCTGAAAAGGGGACGGGAATTAATTAAGAGGGTAGTGTAACAAACCTGAAGCTCAGGCAGATCAACCCTCATGAATGGATTGGTTTCCATCTCCTCCTCAATGGTTGAAGGAATAGTCGGTTGCCCAGCTTGCCGTTGATTCTGTGCCCATGTTAATTTACGTTCCGTCCTCAAATTGTTTGGCTCAACCGTCAAAGCAAATTGCAAGTTTTTTACTGTGTACTGGATAAAAAAAAAACCAAACTTAATCTATCATGTCGATGAACGTTACAAGAACGCTTATAATACTCTAAATAAGCAAACAAGCATTTCAGCTATTTTGGAGTGCATTGCAAATTGCAGCAGCATAAATTATAGCAAAACATCCTATGATAACCCATTCCCTCCATTTAAATTGTTTTTAACGCCTTAAACTAAACTGTGTCGCTGATCTCATTTAAATTAGAAACTCTATATATTTTTGCATTGTTCTCTGAACTGATAGATCCAGAAAGAGATTTTTTAAACAAACTCACTCATATCAAAATAGATCATTATCTTCATCTCCTTCCATTAATGTGGCATCTTAAGTTATGAGGGGCACGTTTCAAATAATATTTTGAGTTTAAAGGGTAGTTTTTTTTTTATTTGGCACCTCATGGCCACAGTAAACTCGGGTTGGCTTTGGCAATGAACCCAATGTTACACAGAGTGACTGGTGCATCTGCTCCGCAGTTCCTTCAAAAAATTTCCCACAACCAGCAATGAACTGTAAACAAGAAAACAACAAAAATAAATTTAAAGATATGAGCAAAACTCTTTATAATGGATACATTCATTTACATGGACTAAGATATTATATGCTTTCATTGGAGTAAAACATATAGCATACTCTGACACCAAGCTCTTGGTAATTGGAATGGCTTTTAGAAATTAGAATAAATTCATTATATGCTTTCATAGAAGCTCATTTAATGACAAGATGAGATTGACCACACAGCTTACCAGCGCATCTCCAGTAAAAACAGCCGGGTGCTCATCCCCTCTGCCAGTAACATAATAACTTATGTGGCCTTTGGTATGGCTGAGAAGGTCAGGAAAATACCCAATATTAACAGATGAAACAGAAAAGTGTTTTGAGTAATCGTGAAGCTGAGATTTAACAACTTCTTCAAACATGATTTATGACCAATCTCTTGTCAAAAAATCTTTCATATATATATATATATATATCTATATATAAGTAGAACAAGAACAGCACAGCAAAAATTAAATCACAAACCCTCCACTTTTGAGTCTCTGTGTGTGTTGTGTGTGCACTTGTTTTGTTTGGGGGGGTGTGGTGGGGAGTCCAACAGCAATCTGCAGTTAACAAGGCCAGTAACCATACCAAGGAGTGTGTAGGGACAATATACTAATATCAGCCCCAAGGAAGACCTTATCACCATTGTCAACTTTATCAGTGCATCCCTTCACGTTATCCACTGAACCACCATAAACCTTGATTCCAGGAACCAGCTGCTTTATCATATCATTTCCACCAGCATGATCCCTGACAAATAATAACGCCAAAATGAGAAATTGCGTCTACTAAGATTCAGATCTCTTTTCAATAACCCAAGTATAACTAAAAAAAATCATATATCATTACTCAAAATGCTAAGCCTGGCGGAACAACTGAGTAATGATAAAAGAGATCGAACCTAACACAATAAATGGACATTTGAAGAGTTTAAACTGCCACTTTGAGAATCTTTTGCCCAGCCAATTTAACCAAGTTTGTTCCCAGGCACTTGATTTCTTAAAATTATTGAGGATTCAACTTAGGGCACTATTGCTTCAAATCGATAATTAGCTCCCCCAGTAGACAATAGCAGATTCCAAAAAAGATACATCAATATCTTAAGCACTAAACAGCCTAATCAAATTACATCCAATGAAATTTGAAAATCTTGAACTTGCAGCAGGGAATCTGGAAGTATGCTTAAAAATCCCCAACAAAATATCCATGATCCAGTATAGAATAAGCACGATATATGCTCGACCGGATAGATATTTGTTCTTAAAAAAAATAGTTGCAGTACCAGTGATGGTGCGTTGTGAGGACGAGCTTGATATCGACTCCATGCGAATTAGCAACTTCGAGAACCTTCTCCGGTTCTACAGGGTCCACTACTGCACCTTCTTTGGTACTTTCGTCAACAATCCTGCAAAAACCAGTTCAAATATTGACAGGGACAAAACTAAATAAAAAATGCATTTGAGAACCTTGAAAAAGCAAACTGAAAGCTGTGTATGTATTAGTCATTCGAGGCACTCATGGGGGGCCGGACAGCGTATTGAATCGGGCTTACAGGTACGAGTAATTATCTTCAAGGCAAGGAACATGATAGATTTTCATAACGTCTTCGCAGGAATTACACGAAAACCCAGCTTCGAGCCTCCGAGTTTTGTTCTCCGCAGCAAACGAGGTGAGGCGAGGAGGCGGTGTAACCGTGGAAGGAATGACCAACGTGTTACGTCGTGTGGCCGTGTCTCGGGTGGGGCACTTTACCGGAACTATCTCATCCAGATGTAAATTTATTTTAAAAAAAAAACTTAATGAAAAAATATAACAATAAAATGAAACGTTGATGAATTTAAATTAAGATATTGAAAACTGGACCGGTCATTGAACCGGCCAAACTCAGGGGTCAGAGGTCATGGGTTCAACCGGGGGTCAAACCGGAGTCAGACCGGTCATAATAAAATAATATAATTTAAATAAAAAATGTATTAATTCTCAATATGTTCATACATATCCAAGTCTTAATATCTCATAACATATAACAATAATTCTAACAATAATAAAGTATAACAACATTTCTATATTTTTTTAAAATAAGGTTAACTAAATGATAAAAAAATTTCAATGAGTTAAAATAATAGAAATAAAAATTTATTTTAAAATAAAAGATAATAAATGAAAGTGATATATTTTAAAAATTATTTAATTAAATAATTCAAATTAAAAAATAATATAATATAATATATATTTATACTTTTGATTTCTTTTTACTTCTTTCATCCCTTTATCTGACATAAGTATATTTTTTTACCCTATGACTCATATTGACCTATCATTAATCATTATCGTGTTAAAAATAAATATATATCTTAATTAATTATATTATTATTTTTTTAAATTTCAACCCGCCCAACCCGCCTGAACCGAGGGGTTGGGCGGGTTAATCCGGGTTAATCCCGGGTCACCCGGGTTAACTGAAAATAAAAAAAATCGGATCGGACACATGGCCGGGTCACCGGTTTATCGGCCGGTCCGGTCCGATTTTAAAAACAATGATTTAAATTACGTAAATGACGTTTTAATCTCTTAAAATGCACTAACTTTTTTAAATTTTTTAGATATTTTTTATCATTAAAAATTAATATAAGTAATTAAGTTACTTTTAATTCAAATTTTAATTATCATTCATAAACTTCATTTTAAAATTCACAATTTTTTTTATTAAAGTCATAGGAATTCAAGGACATTTCATAAGTTTACATTTAAAATTTTAATATTTTTTAAGTATTATAAATATTAATTTTTATTCACAAATTTCATTTTAAAATTTATAACTTTTTTTTAAATTATAAAAATTCAATAGTAAATCACAAGTTTGTGTGAATGTAATAATTGCAACACTTGAAAAATATCATAATTTCAAATGAAAACTTACAAATTATTGTAAATTTTTATGATTTTAAAAAGGAAAGTTATAAATCTTAAAACAAAACTTATGAATTAATATTTGAATTAAGAGCAATTTAATTATTTATATTAATTCTTTGATGACAAAAAACTCTCTAAATACTTCAGGAAAATTATGATATTTCAAATGATAAAAATGTCACTTACATAATTTAAAAGGATTTTGTTGTCATTTTTCCTTTGCTTTTTATTTTGTTTTTAGTTTTTAATCATTTGTTTAAAATATAAGCATCTTATGTATAGCCGGTAATTCAAACCAGTTCAAAAAAAATTAAATTGAGTTTGGCTATATAAACTTTTTTAATATAATAAAATACTTTAAGACCAACCTGAATTGAGCTTGGCTCAAATAAGCTTGATTGCTGAAATTTTTAACTTTATATGTATATAGAATTGACAATTTTAGCTAAGCCTAATGGGCTAATTTGAATGTGGAGCATAATCATGAGAGTGATATATCCATTGCAACACTTTTACTACTACAAGTTCCATTAAAAACTCTAATAAAAGCTCCTCTACTTTCTGTACAAGTGGCATTTTCCTAAGTTGTGATTAGTCAAAACTAGCCTCACTTTACTACAAATTCACCTCACTTACAAGGTGCACTCGTTAAGAATGTTTTGTCACTTAATAGGAAGTTTCAATAGTATCTTGTCTATTGAAAAGGTTTTTTAGAATTTCCAAATAATCAATATTATCGTTTACAAGATGCAGTTCATCACTTCCTCACTTGTTGAAAAGGATTTTCAAATCTATGCACGTGAATGTAGTTTTGTCCCGCCCATTGCTCCTTGATTAATTTGTGTATCAATTTTAACTCGTTAGAAGACGGGTTCTTCAAGTGGGGGAAAAATGATGAAATACAAAATAATGATTAATTAAGATAATTATGATTTATTCAATATATTAGAATTATCCATTAGAAATATTTAAATAAGGATTTTATCTATTATAATAAGGATTTATTATTTATTTTATTATTATATTATATATTAGTATTTTTAAGATTAGATTTAGATTTAAATTTAAATTATTATTATTTTATTATTTTTAGAGTTCTATAACTATAGTTAGGTTTTTTATTTGTATTTAATTTTTGAGTATTATTGAATTAGAGTTTTTGAGAATTTTAATCTTTTCCCTCCTCCTTTCTCTCTCTTCTTCTCATTTTACACCACATAGTTTGGCTTAATTATAACTCAATTTAAAAACCTTAACCCATTATAATTTAATCCCCATAGCTTGAACCATTTAAAACATTAGTCTTCAAGATTTAATAATAAATTTGTTTTGTATAATTTTATCTCCTAAAATATAGCAACAAACATTTTAAATATGCAGGATTGTATGATGAAGTTGCAAGAGTCAAAATTTAAAAAATATTTTTTAATCGAATTAAAATTATAGGGTCTAGTTCAAAAAGTTTAAATTGAGTTGGAACTAAATGTACCAACTAAGTTGTATTTCAATTAATAGTAAAATTCATTGATTGCCCCACTAGTTTGCCCTAATTATATTTTAAAAACCCATATACAAACCTCCCACAAAATTAATAATCACAAAATGAAAACCTTCCCTCTACTTTAACGGTTTTATATTCAACTATTAGATCTTTAGTTGACCATCAAATTACATTCATTAGATCAAAATGTACTCTGTAAATATAAATGTTACTTAAAAATTATTTAAAATACAAAAAATTAATGCTTATTTTTTATTTTTTTCCATAATTTATTTTTAGATATGTACAATTATTTCTCTATTAATTAATTAATATAACTTATGTTTATTTTTCTTTAAATTTTATTAGTTTCAAACAATCCTTTCAATTGGTGGCAAAAAAATATCTTCAAATTATTTATTTAAATATTATCATAATTAATTATTTAAAGTTCATTAAATTGGGAAAGATAGCATGCAATTTTCAATGATTATAAGGGAAATTAGTAATTATAATTTTTCCTATGCAATTAAAAGTAAAATAATAAAATGTTTTATAATTTTTAATAAAATATTTCTAACAATATTAAAAATTGAACTAAAATTTATATTTTAAAAATAAAAGAGAAATTCCAGTAATTTTAATAAAATAAAAGGAATGTCATAATTTTTTATTTTAAATTAATTAACGTTATTATTTTCATTGAGTTCATTGAACCTCCCAAAGCTACTAGTTTAATCAGATATTCATAACTTGAAGGCTAAAGCCCATACAAGAAAATCCTATGTTTCAAAAGCCCTAGTTATCTTCCTAGTTTGCCACTAAGCTCTAAACCATCTTTGAAGGACTTTTTCTTTGTTGGAGATACAAATTCTCTTGCGTCAATGTTTATTTTGACTCTCTTGAAGCTCTTTCTCTTATTTAGTGCTATCAAAACCTTGATCATCTCTTATACGATATCATAATGAAAATCAGAGATCTCATCATAAAAGATTGGACTGTTAACCTCAATCATGTATTTAGAGAGAGCAACAAATGTGCAGACTGACTTATCCATCAAGCGTCGAATGACAACAACGACATCTTCATTTTTGAAGGCCCTCCGACAGAATGTAGCACTCTTTTATGTTTTGATTTAAATTAGTTTTGCATGATTTTTTTAGCCTTGTATTCCAAAAAAAGGGCCCTCAAACATGGGAAAAAAATATTAATAAAAAATATTAAAAATTTTATATTATTATTAAAACTTAAATAGATACTTAATAATTAAATTTATTTTTTTATTAATAAGTATTTATTTAAATTTTAATAATAATTTATTTTAAATTAATAAAAATTAATTTAAAATTTTTACATTCAAATTTTATAATAATTAATTTTTAATTGATATAATTTTTTTTTAAAATCCTTTGCCTTCATTTTCCCAATTTAAAATAGCAGCAACTTTCATTAAATATATATATATATAGCGGCAGCCACTACAAAATGATTTTCTAGGGTTTATCGTCTGTGCCATTGAATCGAACGCGTCCGGTTAGCGTTTTCGGCTTTTCGCAATGGGGAGGAGTAAGCGCCCATCTGACCCTTGAAAGTTTTTCTCTCTACCATGTTTTGATTTCGATATTACCATATGCTATGTGAATTTATCTGAATCGTTTCTTCTACCATGGTTTGATTGTTATAATAGTCTTGCCGGAAACGATTCAAGTGAATGTGGTCTGTGGTCTTGCAAGCTTTTAGAGTAGTTGGTATATTTCGCTCTGAAAATTTTCACCTGGTTCCGGGAATATAATCGTTTTTTAGCGATACCCGGATGGACGTGCCCTTCAGGCATTTTTCTTTATGGAAGACGGAAGTATGCTCGTAACAGCTTTGAGTAAAATTTTGCTCTATCTAACTGTCCTAAGTCAATAAAGAAAAATATGCGATTTTTCGTTAAATCTAAGAACGAGCTGATGACGACAAAAACTTGAAGCTCTTTTAGCCAGCTCACCTTGCCGGAATGAGGCAACCTTGCAACTGCAAAAGGAGTTATTGATTTTTATCAACTCTATGAATGGGATGATATATTGCTTCCGTAGTAGAACTAATTGTTCCAACCACCGTGGTTATGTGATTATCTGATCGGTTTAATTTGAGATGTATCGCTTTTTTTTTTTTTTTGGAAAATAGCCCAAGGATTTGATTGCATCATTATTTAATTCTTGATTCAACGAATTATTGACTGATCCCAGCACTAAAATACTTTAACCATTTTTACCAACATGGCAAATGCTTTTTTGGATGCTACAATTGTTCACATAGCCATATCTTTTGATGTCCATTACTCCACAGGCAATGAGATCACTTGCATTGTTTGCAAATGACGCTGCCCAAATATTTTCTGAAATGCTAGGTGAAATTGTATCACCTGTTATAGTGGCTTATGTGCTGTAAGTTCGCTCATGGATTTACAGCTTGAGATTAAATTTCTTAAATTTGATTGCTAGTTTTTGCTTGCATGGTGTATAATTGGTCATTATGCTCCTCACCTCTTCTTATTGCTTGAAAATGCATTGGCAACTTGTATGCTTTGGATTGTGGTGTTGTACAATGTTGGATTTGTTATGCATTGACATTCTGATTTCTAATCCCTTTATAGTGTCAGCTATTTAGAAATTTCGTTGGTTATTTTTCTGTTTAATGTTAACATCTCAATCTTCTAGGTTTGATGGTTTTAAGCCATATATCTTTTGGTCACTGCACTTCATTGTTATTAGTGGAGATGGTTGTGGAATGAAATTGGTTTTTCTTTTGAATGCATTATTTATGTTCTGATGTTAATGGGAAATCATGTAGGACCTGCAAGGTGTTATCGGCAAATAAAAAACAAACCATACCCTAAATCACGCTATTGCCGTGGTGTTCCTGATCCCAAGATCAGAATTTATGATGTTGGAATGAAGAAGAAAGGTGTTGATGAGTTTCCTTTCTGCGTCCATCTTGTTAGCTGGGAGAAGGAAAATGTTTCAAGTGAAGCGCTGGAAGCTGCTAGGATTGCTTGCAACAAATACATGGCCAAATTTGCTGGAAAGGATGCATTCCATTTGAGAGTCAGGGTTCATCCATTCCATGTTCTTAGGATCAACAAAATGCTTTCATGTGCTGGAGCTGATAGGCTTCAAACAGGGATGAGAGGTGCATTTGGAAAGCCACAGGGTACATGTGCTAGAGTTGCCATTGGTCAGGTCCTTCTTTCTGTCCGCTGCAAGGACAGCAACAGTCATCATGCACAGGAAGCCCTCCGTCGTGCCAAGTTCAAGTTCCCTGGTCGCCAAAAGATCATAGTTAGCAGGAAATGGTAGTGATATGAAATTTGTCCTGGCTGTAGATGCTTTATCAAGAATTATGGTTGATTCCTTTTATCTTTCCAACACACTTTTTGAGAATTAGAATACCATTTATTATCTAATAATCCATGAATTATTTGATCTGTTGGTCGAGTCTTGTATGTTGTTGGTTAAGGACTTAAGGGCTTGTTTAGGTTTTCTTACATTGAGATCTTTATTATATTGAGATCTTTTGTGTTTGAATTAACAAAAGTTTAACTGTTTTAACTGCTTACTCAGGGGTTTCACCAAGTTTAACCGAACAGACTATGTGAAGTACAAGTCAGAGAACAGGATTGTGCCAGATGGTGTAAATGCAAAGGTAATGAATGTCAATGGCATACACATCTGGGCTTATTTTTAGTCAACTTTGAACTTGGTAATTGTTAGCATTGGGGGAAAAGTAGTTTTATGACAGCGTTCAAGTAGTTGGGAATGTGTTGGGGCATTTTTCGCGGAGTGTTGCCATATGTATTCATGTAATCAGATTTTCCCCTTAAGTTCAGCTCAGGTAACGGATCTTGTGACTATTGACTAATCAGTTCCACGTGAATTTTGCAGCTTCTTGGATGCCATGGACCGTTGGCTAACCGTCAATCTGGAAGAGCTTTCCTGTCCTGCTGCAACTGCTTAGGTAGTCTGTTACAAGAAATAGTAATCTGGACCACAGTAGATTTTGACAAATTGAATGATTTTTTCTTTCTTTCTTTTTTTTATGTGGAAAAATTTGTGTTTATTTATGTTGCGTATTGTACTATACTGAGTTCAATTGTGTTTGCGTGGGCGTCTACAATATAATGAACTTTGTTGAAGTGTTGTGTTCTTTATAGTACCTCTTGTTTGGCACTCAACGGAAAGATGTATTCTGCTATATGGCAGATCGACCGACAACCTTTCAACAGCTAAATATAATCTATAAAAATCAACAATAGTGAATTTTTAAGTAATTAAGTAATAATCTGCTCCTAGCCAGCCAACTGCTCCTTGTATGTTAGTCTTTGTGAGAGGTGGCTGAAAGGCAGATAGATTGATCGGCATCTTCACCATGCTTTCCATCTTGGTTTGTGATGCGGCTCTTTTAGGATGTTACTTCTGCTGTTGCCTTTTCAAGTCTGCTATGGCAACTCTTTGATCGCCCGAACCCGCGCTGCTGGTTGAAAATTTGATTTCCTTGTGGCATTCCTAGAAAGGGAGTGAACAATGTTTGCTTTCGGATATTCTTCTCCAAGTCTGCAGATTTCGTTCAGGTCAACGAATATGTTTCAGAATACTTTTCTTGGCCTTTTGGCTAAGATCGAGTGTAGAATGCTTACACCTGCATCGGTCTTTTTGACGCATTATTGACATTTTCTCCTACATTAGCTATTGGGTAGCTGATAAACGCGTGAGATGTCTTTCATGAGCCTCCTTGGATGTTTGACATGTGCAGAGATGGTTCTACTCTATAGGTGTTGATCTTTTGCTGTGTTGCTGTAGGTTGGTTGGTTGTTTTTCTTTTACTTGTTTTATTTTTGGGAAAAGGAAGCAGCTTTGTCAATTGAAGTTGCCTGCTTATTTGTCTCCTCTTTGTGAACCTGATCTAAGCAAATCAAATCAAATAGGTCCTTAAATGAATTCCTCTTGTTTTGATGTATCCGAGCTGTTTCACCCACACTATAACATTCTCAGGATCTCCCCTCCATCATATCAGCGTAAGTAACAAAAGCATCATGGATATAAACTTACTTTTAAAAAAATTTGGAGCCGTTTGAGTGTGTTTGAAGGGCAATCACTTGAAAAAGATAAAACATCCATCCAAGTCCAAGAGGGTGAGCTCCAGCTATGCCATTAAAGTTGTAGCGTCACCGTCTGTGGCATGTGTATCCCTATCCAAACAGAAGAGAAGAACAGAGATTGACAAGATGGAGTTGTGACTGTGAGCGACCGAGGAAGGATCTTCGGAAGCTACTACGTTGGTGCTTTTCTGGGCTAACTCGCACAGTTGGCCCCAGTACCAGTACATGTACCTGTACCTGTATGTATGGTGTAACTCCCTCCTCTCTCTCCAATCTGGTTAATGCCTCACCATTTGCAATTTATTCTCTTCTGCAACCTTTTTTTTTTTTTTTTTTCCTGAGGCTCATTTTAAAATGAACGGATTATGGGCTTTGGATTTCAATTTAATATAATTGATTATGAAAATAATTAATTAATATTATTGATTTTGATTATAATTGATTATATTATAACATTATCATATTTGAATATTATTTTTTTTAAAATTAATTTTGACAAAATTAAAAATGTTTGGATGATATAGTTGGAATCAATTTTAGATGTACAAAGTATCATAAAGAACATTGTTTTTAAAAATTAAAATATTGATAAAATTATATAATGATGTTAGATTTGTTCAACTCATTTAACAAGTAAAATATACTACTTAACTTGTATACATATACCTGATTAATTATAGAAATTTTAATCATATTATATTGTAATATTAATAATTTAGTGTATTTAAAAATCGATCAGTGTATCTAAGTTCAAATAAATTTATATGATATTTAACATGTATGATTAATTATGAACATTACATTTAAAAATAATATTAAAACTAGAAGAATCTTTTATAATTTTAGTAATTAATATAGCATCTGTCCCATATTATAAAAATTTTTTGAGAGAAATTCAGATTTTTAAAATATAAGATACTATGAGAAGATCAATGTTTCATTAAATAGATTTATTTTAATATTATTCTTTCTCTCATTATTTAATAATTAAATGTATGTTTAAGGTTATATTAAATGAAGGGTATTTTATAAGTTTATATTTTTATTTTAAAAATTTTATTAAATATATTTAATAAAAATTTATTGCTATGTGAAATTTTGTTTAAAAATATTTTATAATTTAAAATGGAGTGAGTATTATAATAAAATATTTAAGAGGTATGATCTTGGTATTATATTATAATGTTTTGTTTAATAAATTTAACAAAGAAAAGAGAGACTACAACTCCACAAGTGCGCACTGGTGGTGGGGCAGATAATATTTCTGACAAGCAATAAATGAAAGTAATAGTAAAATTGCAATTGATAAGCTACTTAAGGCAGCTTAAAAGAAAACCAACTTTGGCATCCAATAATCAATTATGAAAAAATGGAGGTGTTTGGGATTTTTTTAAGAAAACCATGATTTGAGGGTTCAAAATCGATTATTTTCTTTATCCAAACAGACACTACACTGATAATGAACTTTTTCGATGCTGGTCATCCTAGTGTTCATTACCTTCAAGCTTGTAATTCTGGCCCAAAAAGAATTTAAAAAAAAAAAAAAGATAGCAGAAAAAGTGAAAAGACTGATAGTAGGTATTAATTTAATATTTTATAATAATATATTATTATTGCTTATTCCCTGACCTAAATTTTTTTTACGCACTAATTTTAAATTAATCTGGATATCTTTTATTTGTGCTTCTATATCTGTGAATTAATGTTTACATTGAAATAACCACATCAATTACCAGGAAATACAATCATGTAATTTTTTTTAAAATCATTATTTAATTGCGTCACTTGCCTTGAAATAATTAAAATAAAATTAATGAAAATATGTGAAATTTAAAACGGAACAAAATAGTTTTAAAATTTTTAAATGAAGTTTGATAATAAAATCTCAAATAAAATTGAACAGTGTATAATATAAAATGTAACTTGGGTATTAACAAGTACAGACAAGGGCATCAATAACATTTTTTTATTTTTTTAAATCTTTTTATTAAAATAATTTGAATCGATAAGTCACAAGCTAATAAACACTTAATCCGCACTCTAGTGTCTGGACCTTAGTTTACAAGACTTTATAATTATAAATTATAAATATATAAGTATAACCAATCTAATTTGACATGTTTAATATATTAATATATTTAATATTGTCCATTTCATAGACCTACTTTAATAATATAAAATTTTTTAATAATGGATTAGATTGAATCTTCCTGATGATCCTTGTTTTCTTCAACCTACCTTTTCCTTTTCTTCTGAGGTGGAAGTCACTAGCAAACACCATGGAAGAAGACAATCAGACAATGTGCGCGATTCTGATAGGAAGTTTACACAGGCTTAATTGCGATTTTATTCCTTCATTTAATATCATGAAAATTTAGCAGAGCGTTGAAGCGCTCACGTTATGATCTCTCATAGTCTCAATGAATCCTTTTGTGTCCCTTCTGAAATGGTGACTACTGAAGCATCGCTCACATTGGTTTAAGACGATTTGGCTAAAAACAGTACCACCTTTTAGGAGCCGTTTCCTGTGAAGTGGTAAATACTTATTACAGTATTCAGCTCTTACCAACCTCTTTATCGCCTTATATTTACCGAACTTTTGTCACATGTACCTAAGGGCGTTCTTCAAAATTCCAGTAATTTGTTATTATAAATAATATTTAAATATGATTAATACTTGCTACTTGTAATTTCGTACATTTCCCCAGTCAGCTCAAAGATAAGTCAGCAAACTATTTTGTGGTCTTGTTCTCTCGAGCAGCTTATAATTGCATACGGTATTGCTTTTCCTCTTATCTTACACACTGAACTTCATCCGTTTGGCTATTTTCAACAGCGACAGTAGGTTTGACAACTGACATCTATACAGCAAGACTTAGTTTGTTAGTGGCCTCTTTCATTATTGCCGTCATGTAGTTAAGCATTTTTCTTTGGGGTTCTTTCTTCTTTCGTCAAGAGATACTCAGCTCCCCACCCAACTCTTTCTTTATTTTGTGAGAATTTTTCGAGCAGTGAAGAAATCAGATATTCTTGTTACTAGTAAGACAGGAGAGCTCAGTCTAATGGCATAAACTCCAACGATGTTGAATTGCAGTATGTAACTTACAGAGAGAAGACCATCTCTCTCCCAAAATTCAAGCCATCCATTTCTAATGCAGCTGCTTCGGAGAATCTGATGCCTTGGAAATTTTTTAGCGTTCTTCTTCACAGATCTGCATCCATGTCTATAATTGTTGTTACTTTTGAAGTTGGATGATGGATATGCATTCCTTGCTTGCTTGCCTTCGCTGGAGGAATCAGCTTATTTTCATTAAAAGTTTTTTTCTTTGTATTTTTTCAGAAATGTTAATATGCTTGTTATGACATGACCTATTTGCATCCTCATTCATTATCATTTTTTTAGCGAAGATTGCTTTTTCTTCTAAAAAGCAAATGAGAATCAAATTTTTGATTTTCCTGATGGTCTCTATTTTTCCTTGGATTCCTCTATTATCGCCAGGCTTCTTTTATCTGGATTTTTTCTTTCATCCCTACTCGTTTCTTAAACATACAAACACCGATTATTTTTAGTTTTTTTCCCGATTACTTCTCTGTAAAAGGCACATACTTAAATCAAAGAGTAAGATTATGTTGAAAGAATAACCTTTTCTCAAACAGGTACCCCTTCCCCAACTTCAAATCCTTCCTAGAAGTTTTTGCATGTGCATGTGTAAGACAGTCTCAAAGTCTTATAGGTTCTGTGCAAAGCTGCTATTACCTATTAGGGATGGTGCTGTATCATTAGAAGCTTCTTCAAATTAAATTTTCAACTTTTCAGATAAAGGAGTTGATTCAAGTTATCGAGTGCATTTCTATATGTAATCTCTAGTTCTTCAAAGAATGATTAAATCATCATAAAATTTCTTTTTATAGCCTAAACATATCCATGTCTTTATTTAGAAAATAGCATAATTTTCGCTTTGAATATGATCACAGCTGTCAAAATTTTCAAAAGCAAATCCGGAAATGATGAAAAGCTGAGGTCAGACCTTGTAACC